AGGGAAAATTTGGCAATTACGACCGCAGACAAAAAGTAAACCTTCATATATGAAGCCCGAGACATCTTCCCTTAAGTATTCGAGGTTCTCCATTCTTCCAAGGGGAATTGGTGCAATAAATTTCCGGTTACATTGTAGGGACCACTTCGATGCGTTCGCACACAGTATGACCCAAAAAGCCTTATCTTATCAGCCCTTAAACTGACAAATCCCATCAGAAATGCCTAGCGGCACAGGCACGTGCGTTTATGACACTGACTTCTCTAATTCATGTGCAACGTTTGCCTATTAACCCATCCCTCATCCCCATTTTGTAAGACGTGCATTACATGAGTCATGTACACCTGCTTAGTTGTTTGACGGCCTTCATTCTGCACAAATGCACTTTGTCCTGCTTCCTGATAATATATGTTAGTATACTACTCAGAATATGCTCGGTGACAAGCGTCGTAATTCCGGTACGTTGACAAAACCGCTCATCTCTGAAATTAAGAAGCAAAGCTTGATTCGACACACTAATTGTTGAGGTATCCACAACTTATTTCTGTGAATTCTTATGAATAGCTGCTACCGGACTTCGTTACTCTTTAGTTATGTCGTTTCTGCTGTAAATCTACCTTTTGCATCGTATGAAGGGGCTCTATGTTTCATGAAGTCATTTGCACTAATACAGTCATTATTCACACGGGAAATGCTGTGTTTTGTGTTCTCTTAGTAGTTATCGAGTTTAAAGGGAGTTGGTGCACGCTAGGCGCGATAGATGTGGGCAATTCAACGCCGGACTATTCACTAACCACCAATCCGAATGTACTCTTATTCATGAATTTTGGTCCCTAGTAAACCTCTATATTAGCAATCATTAACTTACTCACTCAACTGCTTACAAATAGTTGCATGTCGAGAGTGTAGTTTCTAGTAGAGTAGCTATCTGATACCTACATGATTAGGTGCAGTTCACGAATTAGCAAATATTTAAATGCTAGCTAACAAGCTCTATTGTCGAAGTACAAGAGACAGACCTTCTTTGACATGATCAAATTAATATAGAAGAGAGCGCGATGGAACCAGCAGGATTGATGCTTTCTGCTTCTCTTTTAAACTGGACATTTTAACTGGAACTTCCCCCATTAATTTTGTCGCTTATCGTTTGAGGCTTTTTGAAGCTTCTTTTAAAGTCACTTGGCAGTCGATAAATCCACACTTCTGATAGCCGGCTTGAGCTTATAGCGTCCGGATGTCCGGATTTGGGACAGATATAAACAGCAGTCAAGTAGACAGTTTTGTGTGAAGCCCACATGAGACATTTCCTCCCTCGCGCGAGTGGATGCGACAAGCTAATCCTTCAGTTCGACAATCACCGACGCTTTTTCTTGGCAGCTGCCTGACCGAGCTGTGGTTTGTTTAGTCGCTACTGACCCCGTTAGTCTAATGATGAATATTAATTGAGGTGAACACAGCTGAGGCAATATGCAATCTAAAAACAAACACTTAAGTGTGAAGGACTACAGTACGGAACATAAGGTAACTTGTAAGCAGTTACATTAATTGTTATGGCATACTACTGACTAAATGCAAAAAATGGAATTTATGCACCATTTATTCTTCGCTAACAATGTAGTGAAAGGTTGTCTGGCCAATGCTGCAATCAACTCTTCTCCTGAACGATTCGTATCCTAAATCAGTTTTTAAGCGGTATATTCTGAGCTGACCTCCCTCAGGCTTTGTGCAGCATCACCACTACTGGTGTTTCCACCAGATACTAGCGATGCTGTCAGAAAATGGCTACTCAGTCGCTGTTTAACACGCCTTGGCCATTTGCTGATCCATGCAATGACATCTGCTGTACTGCAGTGTTGAACCCTATTTCCCCAACAGATAGGGTAGGGTCTTACCGTCTAGACAAGCGACTGTGCATTGAAAACCCCATTAGAAATCACCGAAATGCACTGTGACACCTTTGATGGTGTGTTCGCCTGGAACGATAGAATTGACCAGGTAGTAAAACTAACCGCTCTTTTCCAATGCCGTTTAGAGCATGGTTCAAAGGAAGTAATTGCGCGTTCTCATTCGAAAAGTTATTTGCGTAAGGGCTGTCTCACCTTCACAACTCTCTTTAGTCTTGTGGTCAAATTCGACATTGAACCAGCTACCTCAGCCAGGTTGGACATCTTACCAGAAGGCCGTTTGGATCGGACGCGGCAGACATGCTATCACTCCACGCTTTGGAATTTTTACCGAGTTTGGGATGAGCTACTATTTGTCTTCTGTGGTACTCTACCGCATATATATATATATATATATATATATATATATATATATATATATATATATATATATATAGTTGCTTGTATATTGATTGAAGAGCATGCACGAAATGACAATGTCATCCACAATCTTCGTCTTCTGATATTCTTATTTGGAATTATAAAGGGAAACTCATGTTTCAAATTTCGGAGGTTCAAAATTTCATCATATTGATATTTTATTGTGATGGTTTGACGAAATGTGATTTTGGACATCAAGCAAGTGATCACAATGTAGGGTGCTTCGCAGTTCTGGAGAGTGAGCTCTGTGTAGTCGTGCACTAACTGTGTGAATCCGTGTGGACTTTTCTGTTTAGATGACTAACCTGTGCTGATGTGCACCGTCTGTAAATGCTGGAAACGGGGACAATCAAAGCCTAGTGTAGCTTTTAGTACAGCTGATGCTGAGTGACACTGTGCGAACATTCGTGTTGAGAGACCGTATAACTGGTACAAGAGCTGAGTCAAGGCACAGGTTACAGTTATCAGTCCGGCAGTTATGGAGTCCGTAGCGGCCTTAGGGTAATACTCCGGCTGGTGGCTCACTTGAGCACTAGTAATACTGGCACCCAACTTCTTGCCACACGGATGAAGAATCAAAGTTTTCTCTACAGTTTGGCCTTGGTAGCTTCTGAGTTTTAGACGTGAGGTTGCACACCGAAGCGCTCGTATGGTACCATATCTTCAGGCCTCGCATGATAACTCTGGTGGATGGTCGAGTATTATCTATGCACAATCGGCTGTTCACCTGGATGTACTCCTGAAACCTGCTGTTCAGCAGAGTTCATTATCGGAACCATCACTGGTTCGGCGAAAACATAGTCATGGTCAACGGAATCTGAACTAGATATTCAAAGTTACGTTACGGCACTACTCTCTCGTCTACGTGTCTCAGACACTACGTACGTCAACCACAACGGAATGCAGAGTTTGAACTATTGTCGGCCATTGAGTGACTTTATGAAACGCTCCGTTCTCGGTATGCAAGGCGATTTACTTACACCTTTTGTATTCTTTGGCCGCCCACCCCACGCAAGGTTTACCCTCAATGGTCGCAGCATTGTTCTGTACTGTTATGGTCTCTTTTTTTCGCAGGCATCTAGACAGTCAGCTGATGGTTGGTGCAGGGTACACCGATAGTTCAATACTGGCGCCGTTTTATATTATGATGTACTTGACTCTTCGAATTCGTCAGTTGCAATATGAGTAGGCCATCTGTATCCTCACCACATCCAAGTGCCATTGGGTATTTATATAACCAAATTATCATACGTTCTAACTTATGGTATTTGTTAGAATGAGAACCTGGCTGTTTTACCCATAGCATGATGTGCATTCTTTGCTTTCACCTTTTGTTCCTTTGGTACGCCGCCGCTAAGCTCTATGGTGCATACTTTAATTTTCTTCTAGTTGACGTTTCACGCTTACCGCTGTCCTTTACCGAGTGCTGGTTTAATGTGATCTTTGATAACAGATGCCGCAAGTTTTTTTAACCTTTCTTCTTAACTGCCAGCTTTTTTGCTGAAATTTCAAACTTGAATATTTAAGTGATTTGCTCCCTTGTCATCAAAGCTTTCATCAAGCCAATTGTTATTATCACTAATGACAGTACATCGATATTTTGAACTGATGCGTCCCTACCATTACCCGATGCTGACCTAGGGAATAGGGATTTACAGAAGTAGTGGAAGAGGGACCCAGTAGTAGCAAACATTCGATTTGTCAATATACGGTTACGTATAGCTGACTACCGCGGGTAGTTGAGGCGCATAGGTGAGACAGCTTCGTTGCGACTTTTGCCTGCAAGCGCCGTACCTTCATTACTCAACTGATAACGCAGCATCTGACAATTTATACGAACACTCTGACTAGGAGATGACGGGAAGCACGGCATTTATGCTGACTGCAAACCATGGCTTATAAAGTGTCACGCCAGGTTTAAGGTTTGTCATGTTGACTCCGATCTTGAGGATGAGATGGACGAACAGCGTTTAGTTTCGCCGTCTTCATGGCAGAGAATGCTGTTACTTATTGTCCTTCTCACCTATGATCGATCTAATGTTATCCTATTGCTTGTATTTACTGCTTGTACAGAATCACCTACGCTTAATCTCCATCAAAACTTTCGGGCTTTGCGTAATTCTGGAAGGGCTGGTTCTTCTTGGTTTCTTGATGTAGTAAGCCATACTTATGCGCACATGCATCCTACGACCTACGTATGGTATTATCCAAGTGTTTCACCTCTTGATGATCTCATAGCATGCTTACTCTGAAGTAACACAGTGGCACCTAAATGTGTCTGGGTATCGCAGCTGCACTTTACCAGTTGGTGCAATGAAGATGAACTAGCACAAGATACAGAAGGGACTGTCACCTATGAGCACGTGGTTGGAATGATTTTCACTTGAGTGGCATTGAGGCAAGATACCTAGTTAACTGTCTGCTTGCCGCGGCTTCTAATTTTATGAATATCACTTATGCATTTGCACTAATGAGGAATTTATCATAGGAACAGTTCAAATCTAAGCTCTTGTCGAGCATCAGTTCGCCCCTAATCCCACTATTTCACTTTTCCACATACTTATCAATCATCCAATGAACCCAGTTCACTAAATCTCCCAATTCATTTAGCAAGAGATTTGTCATACGCGTAAGAAAGTTTACATTGCTAATTTCAACTCCCTCCATGGCTTTCAGACTTCTTTCTTTTTGGCTGATATCTGGGGTTGCGCCGTACTGTATTTTATGTACAGTGAAACTCTCAACATTCCAAGTTACGCATCACCTTTTGCTTTGGTCCTGTTCTTGGTCGTGTTCTTGATCAACCCCTTTCGATTCGGACACTTTAGAGCCCGAAAGTGGCTACTGCGCGTTTTGGTAAGTTTTCCAAGCATGATTCATCGGTTGGTTGGCATGTACTTGCTTGTGTTGATACTTGTGACTATTTGTTGCCCCGATAATAGACAATCGTGTATTGTGACGCGATGAAGTTCACGAGGTTATCGTTATGAAGTAAGTCGTTTGAACTTACACGCATAGACAAATTTTTTATCGATCGTCATCTAAGGACCCGATCTTGTCAACTATTTACCCATACTGTTTTGTAGCATATTCCATGGCAGATATAATATCTGGATAAGATGTCCCATTTAAAGTTTGCACTCCATATTGTTTGACATGTAGCCAATGGGGCTTCTACCGGGCACATTACTAGCTTGATTTAGGTCCCGTGTACTTGCTTCCGAGAGCCGTTACCCTGTCCCGAAGTGCACTGCGTAAATTTCAGTCGTTTGCAAGCCCACTACGATCACTATATATATATATATATATATATATATATATATATATATATATATATATATATATATATATATATATATATATATATATATATACCTCAAACAACATGCAGTGCAAACTTTAAGAGGAACGTCTTATCCAGCTATTATATCTGCCATGGAGTATGGTGCAAGATAGTATGGGTAAATTTATTTATTTATTCAATACTTTACCAATTACAATACAATTGACTGAGTGCCACAACACATAAAAGGAAAAAAAGTAGGTGGAAAGCGAAAACAGCCGTTAGGATAGAGGAGTCTCACAGTTAGTGCCCCATTGCGTACGGTCCATGGCCATATCCTCTGGTGTTTGCAACCATATGGGCTCAGGGTCCTTTGGTCCCCAACTCGGGAGTCGGGAACGCCCAACAACAGCCAGCTTCAACGTTTGCGCTTTAACGCATTGGACCCAAGTCTTACATTGCCTTCCTTTTCATCGCTTCCATCCCACGCCTGTGCTCGCAAATAGGTCTCCTCGTGGTAGGCGCTGATTAAGCATGCGGAGCACATGCCCAAGCCAGCAAAGCCTCCGCAATGAAGTAATGCTATCAATCGGTCGGCGGAGTTCGTTAGATCTGAAGACTCGCCGACTGACTTCATCATTACTGATGTGATGCTGCCATCGAACTCCAGCAATGCTTCGCAGGCAGCGGTAATCGAAGACAGATAGCTGCTGAATATCACTTTTTCGGACGGGCCAAGTCTCACAACCGTACAGCAGAATCACTGGCACCGTAGCATTGTAGACTCGTCCCTGGAGAGCGAGGCTGAGGTCATGTCGAAGCCACAGGTGACGAAGGTTAGCGAAATTGACTCTAGCCTGGGAGACACGTAGGGAGATCTCATCTGTCAAACTGTTAATACTAAGACAACTCCAAAGATAAATGAAGTTGTTGGTGAGAGAAGGACATGCACTTGGCCAGTCCTGTAACAGGACCTTACATTTGGAAGGGGCAAAGGTCAACCCAAATTGGGAGGCGGACATCTCCAGTCTAAGCAGCACATGCTGGGCGGCTTGGGAGGACTCGCAAATCACAGCGATGTCATCGGCGTACTCTAAGTCTCGAAGGCGGTCACCAGGAAAAGTTCAACACCGCAGTATCGACGTTGCGGAGCGATCAACATGTAGGTCCATTGGGTTGGGCTGTGTGGTGCTTTTCGCAACTTCAGATCCACTTAGCTTGGTCAATGGTTAGAGGCCAGACAAACTCATTCCCTTAGCTCTCCACGTTGTTGTTTGGAGTGAGGGTGGCTTCTTACTCCATAAAACAGACTCTCTCTTGCCTAGTGCCAGGTCCGCTTTTTGGACCAAAGCCGTTGGTTCTGAACCCTAATCGTTATATTTAGACTTGGGCAACCTGACAGGATCCTGTCCACGCAATACAATGAACGATTGCGAACAATGTCTTGATGCTCTGACTGTCTCAGAGGATATTCAGTGCCACCCTATCTGTTTCGTCGATCAGGGTGCATGTCGGTGAGGGTGCTACTGCCCAGACATTTCCGTATCTATATTCCCTGTCTTGCGCATTTTCATTCTTATCGTCCCATACCGACCTCACTTTTATCCCCCCAGTTTTCAGCCCTCAATTCTCGGCCCTTCCCCATCTTTCTGTGATAAGCATTCGTTGTTTCATTTTGACTAACACGAAACCGCAGATTGTCGCTCTGGTCCAGTCGACTTGTCCATGTTTAGCCAAGCGGACAATGTCAGTTCATCCAGTTATATATCATGCTCTTAATTCTCCTTAAAACTAGCATGCTTTAGCCGGTTGTTGGATCACTGCCATATTAATTGCCGACCCACCGTAGTCGTCTTCCTCGACATCAAAAGTGCCTTCGATTCGGTGGATTGATGTGCCCTTTTGGACTGTCTACTCGGTAATGGTGTGCCTGATAAATATGTAAATATCACAACTGCGCTGTACGCGCGTAGTTGGGACAGAGTGGAAACCTATGGCAGACTATCACCGCCCTTCAATAACCAGTGTTGTGAGACAAGGCTGCCGCTGTCACCTTTCCATTCTGACTTCGCGATTGATCAAGTCATGGAAACTGCGTTCACCGGATACGACTTACAGTGTGTGGAGCCGCTTCCTGATGAGCAACATCTTGTCTTAGACTATGCTGACGACATTGCCCTAATCTGTGACAGTTCTCAAACGGGCCAATCAGTAGTGTACAGATTAGCATTGGCTGCCATCCATTTCGGTCTATGCTTTGTACTCCCGAAATGTAAAGTCCTCTAAGATTGGCAGCCACCCAACCATGCACTGACCCTTAGTGATGCTCAGCTGGATGTCTTTCAGAAACCCAAGTATTTAGGCAACAATATTAGCGCATGTGGAATAAACCATGGCATCATTAATCTTATTGCAAAATCTCGTGGCACTTTTGCTAATCTCTGCCACCTCTGGCGTCAGCACGATATTACTTCTGCCCTGAAGAACAGTTTATAATACATTCGTCCGTTCAACCCATCTGTACATTTGCGGAAACTGGCCCATCAGATCGAGATACCCAAAGAGGCTTGTTACACTCGACAATCTCTGTTTTTGTAGTGTGGCTCATATTGTAGGGGCGCGGATCTCAGTTCACACGGAAATGCCCCGGAAGCAGCAGGAGATCGGGACTAACGCGGAGACTGGGAACGGGAATCGTCAATGCAGCTCGTGGCCTACGATGCAAGCCGGGAATGGGTCGTCAACGACAAACGATACCGCGGCCACGCCGAGAAGAACAAGAGCCGACATGAAAGGGTGCCCGATTTTCCCAAGAGATATGCCTTTATCTACGGCCCCAGGAATCGGCCCGAGCAAGCAAGTCGAGAGCTTTGGTACGAATCCAGTCTGGATAGGCTGCAACGCAAGGGAGCCTAAATGTGGGCGGAAAACGGCACATTCAATGTCCACGTCGGATCAGCCTAATGGCGCTTAGTGGACACCACTTCACTCGGCGGAACGTGGTGCGTCGTAAGTGGGAAACGCGGCTATGTTTGTGTGTGTGCGTGGGACGTGTGTGAACCTCTCAGCGTGCAATAAACAGCGTGCTCCCCTACCGTGTCGTTCTCGCTACAATATCTGTTGGGTTCACCAGGTGAGCGATGAACGAGTTCGACGTCTCGTATTTGCTACAATTATAGCGAGTGAACCAATCAGCACCGTCAGATCACGCGCCGGACTCCGATGACCGGACCAGGTGTCGCGCATGCCAGCACACGGACTCCCGCAACGTGCGTTGTTTGCGCCCTGGAGGTGTGGATGGAAGAAGAGAAGGGGAGACCAAGCTATGACATGGTTAAAAGGAATGAAGTCCCTCACTTCAAACTTGGCATCCGTTGGTGTCTCCCGGCTGTCGGGCTGGGGTCTCCAAGATGATGAACAACAGCTGGATACGATAGTTGACATGGCGAGGAGCCGACCTCAAGGGCGTTGTGTTGTGATTTTATTTGCCCCTCCCATCTTGTTTATCTTCTCCTACCACAATCTCTATATTGATTTATAGTATGCTACTAATCCATATGTTATCTGTAATTTTTGTATTCGATTATGTTTAGTATCTCGCTTTTTCATATATTCTTCCATATTGAGGCACAATTGCTGAAGTGAGTTTCTCGCCCTTAGCTAGTGTGTTATGAGGATGCTTCTGTGAAGTTACCTGAGGACACAAATAGGCCTCAGCCAGTCGTAGAACGTTTGGATGCCGATAGGTAACGAAGTGACGCAACACGTCACGTTTGGATGAGAGTTACGCGCAGACTAAGGTAGGAACCTTCGCGCTCGCATGGAACGTCATCGAATTGTTGATCCGAATATGGCGAACCTGGCGAATTACCCGGAAGTGTACAACGCGGAGACTAGTTTCCCTATCGCCAGTACGCTGCTATCGCTCAGTTAAAGCGGATTTAAATTTTGTTCCGTCTGCCGAAACTAAATCTGCGCTTATATGTGTTTTCAAACTCTACCTCTTAACACCTGTTTAACGACACCAATGAGTAGAACATTAATACTTGGCAAAGCTTTACGTGGTTATAGCAAGCCTGAAGACTAGAATCATGAGCATGAAATGCCGTAATGTTGCAACGCGTCATGTTGCTCGCAGTTGATCTTTGTTTCCTTTTGCTTTGTATTTTTGATTGGTCTTTATCACACCGGAAAGTTATTGCTTGTAGGAAGCAACATAGGCACACCAGCTGAGCTTCCAATAACGATTAAACATCGTTCGGGTGAGCTTGTATCCGGCTTGTAATTGGGTTCGGTCGAACGTAGGAATGGCTAGTGGCCTTGTTTGGATGAGCACACAGACCACTTCACTATGAAACATTTCGTTCTGCTTGCTGGCTTTCGAGGTTTATTGACTTTTTCATGCTGCATTTTGCCCTTATACTTCTTACAAAATATTTGCACAATGTCGTGCTGAATTTCACGAAGTTTACATGTTTCATTGGATATACCAGTGCACTAAATGTGACTGCACGCGGCAAATAAGGCATGCAACAACTTAGCTATATGTCCGATAACCTTACTGCGAGTGTCACAGGTAGCTTACTTCTTCATTACTAGTAGCTTACAAAAGGTGCTGGTAAAATTGTTAGTCGATCGAGGGACAATTCGGAAACAGAAAAGCTGCTAAACTTAAAAATACAGCCAGGAAACACGGATGTGCACAGAGTGATATGAGGGGCGAACCGACCAGCCAAGGCAGCGAGAGAAGTCGACTTAATGTGCACTATCCTCAGTTAAACTATAAGGTGTTGTATTTCATAAACGTCCTCAGAACTACTCACCTCAGCTGTAAAGATAACCGTTAGCTGAGCGCATTCTCGGCGTTCTCTTCATTGGAGTTCACGTAGATGCTGATAAGACTCTTCTGTCAGACTCAGTCATGGGAGCCAACGGTTTAATGAGTAAACACACAGCTTGATTAACACGGACTATGAGCACCACAGGTTGTTTATGACTGAGGGTCATTTTGGAGTAGACGTTGTGTGGATATATTGCGATACGCAATCTCGCTGTTGCCCGCGACTCCCATTGAAGTAAACCTTAGTCTCCATCACGAGGACCGTAGTTGAAGCAGGTAGAAATTGCGTGTTGCCCACCAGAAAACGCTGCACTCCCACGACGCATTTCGATGCTTTTCATCACATCAGATAGAGATAACAGGTACCGAATCCTGGACCATTTGGATGGCTTAGGGGTAGCGGTCACAACTAACATCCCAATAGTCCCGGGTTCGATGCCTGATATGTCTAGCTAATGAGATGAAATAACATCAAAACGCGTCATAGGAGTGCAGTGTTTTAGAGCGGGCAATTCCAAATTTCTATCTGCTTGTTTATGACTTGTTTATTGCCGTATACCACGTAAAGTAGCTCTGGTAGATAATGCACAACTCCACTAGCGCCAATCTGCGTCTAACCGTGGTCGTAGCTACATAATCTGGTGTTATAGATATGCTAGTTTCTTTTTTTGTCATTCCCTATCTTTTTTCTCTTTCGTAACTCGTCTTTCAGCGAAAATCCGCTCTAAACTGCTAGATATTTACTAAAATTGTTCTTGGATAGTCTTCCAAACCTAGGGCCACCTCATAAAGTTGATCAATCCGCTTTCAGCAACGCGACTTCTTATTGCGCACTGCGTCGAAGTTGCTATGCATACCAAATCTAAAGCTCACATGCAACGGATTGGCGTCGTAATACATCCACGGATATTTGATTCAGATTACGAGGACTGTGACTGCACTTTCACCGATTTATTGACTCGAGTTATCCACGATGTCGCTGTTAAGCCCACCGGAATGGTTGAATGCCATTCTCACGAGTGGACCACGGTGAAGAACAGTCGATTATGGATGGATGGTCATCTGAACTCCATCAGAGTCAGCATAAGTCCAAAGACACGATACTATTATGATGCTTTCGTGCATGTTCCACTGTCCGCAACCCATAAACTACTAAATCCGAAGTGTCAAAAGAACTTGTACCCCTATCTGTATAGGTAGAAGTACAGTGTTACTGATATAACTGCTCAGGTGGGACGCTACTTGGAGAGGGAGCAACCTAATGCAGGCCATCTTTTACTATTCACCGTTAGCTATACCGCCATATACCTAGTATCAACTATGCGATAGGTTGCACTAGATTTAGCTTGTTCATATTTCTATAAGCTGAAAATGGTGTACATGAGTTGCAAGTTGTCAGCTGAGTGGGAGCACTCACTCGTTTGTACATCGTCTTGATTTATGCCTTTGTAGAGCTCTCCCCCAGCTTCTGCGAAACAATCGACTTTGCGATTACTTGCTTGTCATGTAAACTCCCATTTAAACAAACCCCACCATCACTCCGAATTGGAACGTTCCGAATAAAGTCACAAGATGTTAATGAGTTATACGCCGATCGAACTGCATTGTAATGCGCCATGAGAAGGCCGTAGCGTCTGCTAGGCCATATTAACCACCCAGTGTGAGGTATCCCTCGGTTTGCTGGGTGCGTGGAATTTAATTTGACAGGGTATCCGTGAGCTTAGTGTGTGATACCACTGGAAGGAGTTTATGGAGAGGAACTCTGGAGCTGAAGCGAATTACAATGCTCGGTGGAACGGGGAATGACAGCTATGTTGAACCAGCCCAGCAATATTCTACTTGATTTGTACCAAGCGCTAGGGTTGCTATCAGCGAGTAAGATATTTTATTCCCGGGCCTAACTACCTGAATGTCAAACTGGGCTTTCTAGGGGACAAACCAGTAGGCGTATGTTGGTGTCCTCTGATCTATCACCACTTGAACCTGACTGAGCAATTGGTGTCTTGTTTCTTGGCACTGAAGCGGTCCAACGCAAACTGGACTGTTAAAGCCGAGTAAGGTGCTCTCACCGGAGTTTAGTGATATCAGAAGTGAACTTTATCCATCCATACTATTCAACTCTGTGGACTACTATGTGGGTAACCTTAGCAATTTTCAATGTCTCCTCATTTGGTTCTGTTCAAAATCCGTGGCTACTTCGAAATCATTTCCGCTAGTTTAGGATCGCTCTCAAATTTCTCATTTCTTCGACTCCCTGAATCTCCAGGAATTCGGTAATATCACAGTCCTCTTCGCCCTCTCGTTGCATTAGGAAGAGAGAATGAAGCATCAGCAGTGCGCGTTTGCGCTACACTGATGCTCCGAGGCTGCGCAGGCCACCACCAGTCAGGCATGGGTCGACTATACTACGATGTTACACACAACTACGCATATTCGAACAGGTAGCTTTCGGATTACAAGGCACACATTTCATCCGTTCGGCCACCGACCGACCGTACCGTATTTACCTCACGTGTTTTCCCGGAGTTAGGTTGGCGAGTGTTCTGCAAAAGGGGTGTTTCTAGGGCCGACTTTCGCTTTCGATCCAGCTGGCCGCGTTTATTTTGGTCCCTGTGCATCGGCAAATTTTACGTAACCAAAGGTCTCTCTTTTCCATGAACTACATGCGTTTTTCGTGACAAGTATTGTGTCCTGGTGGTTAGCATTGAAACCGAGTTAACCCAGAGTAGACGTTCTACGATGCGAATGTTGCGAAACGTTGTACTTTTCTTAGACCTATGTAAACCGACGAAGAGAGATGTATATTCCAAACTGCGCCTATCTTCTCCAAGGTGCACTGTACTGTTGCAGCCCATTCTATATCATTATTATTACTTTACGCGGTTTTGTTACATTTTTACCTTTTTTACCATCAGTTTCTCCTTTCTTCCTAGTGCAGCAAACCGACCGATCACTCTAGAAGCATCTTTGGGAACCACTTTAAACAACTCAAAGAATTGATTCGCTTTTGCGATTCGACCGTAAGAAGTGATGAGACCAGCCCGATAGACCGTAAATCACTATGCCGAGAAATCTACCATTTATTTGTTTTTTATTACTGTTACCAAGAATCCAAGCATGTTGACTAAGCGGTTTGCTTATTTAAGTTGCCGCTGTTGATTGTTGCTGATTGTATCACAACTGATCTACCGCGTGCCATAAGAATGCATACATCACTGTTCGTAGCCCAAAACGACGATGTCGGTCGGTGGCCGAGTGGTTGCACGCCTGGCTTACGATCCTTAGGTCACCGGTGCGAATCGTCGTTGGGGCGGACGTCCTCGCGGTATATGCAGTCCACGCGCGACTTGTGGTCGCGTGGCAGCGAAACGCCATTACGGCGCACAGGTGGCGATTTATATTTTGATTAAAAACAACGATGGAATCAGTGCAATCAGTCCACGTGCAAGACATACGGTCTGCAATGTAGCCAGTTTTTGTGTTTACATCGCTGCGTTCTGATATTGAGGCGGTGGCCGGCTTTGTCACCCGGTACCTACGACGTGTAGCCCATAACTGACTCGACCGCTTGTGGACCTATACTGAAAAGCATTATTTGTTAGTTGACTACGAACTTTTAGATGCTGCGCATGACCCTCCTTTCAATCCGAGCTGTTTCCCTCGGTTTATTAGCATTCTTCTCCCACTCGCCGAGCACATATGAAAGCCCCCTTTTGAATAGAATTTCATGATGTCACGGAATAAATTAAAGAAGCGATTAACAGAAAGGCAGCATCGGACTGGTCAGTGCTGTTCTCTTGAATAAGAGCAGACTTTCCTGTCCATTGGTTGGGTGTTCTTTCGACAGGACACAGCCGCGAACACAGCGACAATCTTGCACATTGGTTCTTTCTAGTACGGTTTTCCTCCGTCAACCGTTGCTATTTTCCATCCACCATTTTCTTTTGGATGTTTGTCTCCAAGTTCAAAAGTTCTTGTTATTCTCACACCAACACAAGAGCTAGCAGTTGAATCCACCATCTTATAGCACGGTGTGGATTATCGTTGGTTAGCTGAACAGAGCTAGTTAGGTTTCACCGCGCATATGTATCCGGTTAGCAATTCATTAATCGAAAAAGACACCTGGTTTGACTTGCTCATATGAACGAAAGACGGTTACTTTTTATTGTTTAGCATTTAATGACTGATCACTACGATTTCAGCTTTCTTACCAGTTTTCTCCTTGTCTCTGAGTTAAGGTGCGTATGATTACTGCTGTCGTGTCTCCGACTACTAATTCTGACCTGGATACTATGGCAGCCTGATAATGCCCATTAACATGGTGCTGGTAGTTAATACACGCTATTCAGCTCGCGCGATATTGTAGTTACATTGTCTCGTCTCTACGTTGCATAGACCGTGTTCTGTGGATTACCTCTGCCAGTTCTACTACGTGGACTTTGCAACATAAATCGCCCTTGAAGTTCCGAGGTTGGTTTTGCTGAATTTCCTCTTCTAGCGAAACTGTCACGGGCAGCATCCTTTGATGTTTCCAAAGTTATCAGCAGACCTTGTGGTCCCCTTCCATAAGTCAACTATCACTGCCATCATCCTTAACAAATAGTATTTTTAAACGCAGTGCTCACCACCGGGATTTGTTGCTTCAACCCATGGTCGGTTGCACACCGCATATTCCTGTTGTTCCATTCTCCATCAGGGTCGCATTGTCTCGGCTCCATTTTACGAGGTTAAATTCGCCGATTTCTGGCTGGCCGACCAACTGAACAGCATGAATTTCTTGTTTCCTGAGATCGCATTTTTTATCTGCTTCTACACATCCCAAATCGCCTGGATGGACGGGATGAAATATGTGCCTACGACATCTAATTTCAATCTGACGGTTCCCAGTTGCGCCTCCAACATCAATCCTGTCATTGGTTAGTATTATTTTCTGTGCAACGCTTTGTTCCATGATACGCCAGTGTCGCGTGGTGTTAAAGGTCGTCATTCATCATGCAACACGTGGAGAGGAACACCTCAGTCATTGCGTCGTAATACAACGTAAAACATATTGCACGCACTAGTAAACATGTAACACCGGTTGGAACGGTGTCAGCTTAGGTAAATCCTATTTCTATGTGTTGTGTGAATTAAAACTGTTGGTCACTTAATCCACCCATTTTGACTTCCATCTACCTTCTATAGGTCTTTTCAAGTGCATCTGTTAACAACACTACAATTTCATCCCGATGACCCTTGCGTTTTTTCTTGTCATCATTCTAATGAGTAACACACCACTAATGCCCTTGTTTCCATTAGGAGTGCAGTTGTATGTACTGATCTCTCATGTTCCACACCCGTCTACTCTAGAACTACACTGTACGCTTTAGAGCGCCAATCATGTGCTCCTTTCGCATTCGCCATTTTAAAAGCATAAACAACGCTGTTTATTATCAACTACTGCTTCGTGACAGATATTACATTAGACAGTTTGCTACTGAGTGCCTCCAGCAGACATGCGCATACCTAACAGTTTAGCACGTGTTGTATTGACTGGTCGGTGTTCATCTTGGGTTGTCGCGTTATCATCACGTTCGATCACTCTTCCTGTTCATGTAGCAGAGAGCTGCGAGTGTTCCGGAATAATGTTTGGAATTGAACCAATTCTGCGAGTGCTACCGGCATGGTTCCGATTCGCTCAGTGTCTTCGGCGATATCGAGATATGAAAGAAAAGCGACTTTCCCCGCACATTATCAATGCTGGAAAATATTCAACCTCGTTTTTTCTCACGGCCTCCTCCGTTTGGTTTCGCCTTGACCCCAGTGAGTTAAACTTACAGCTTAACCAATTCTATGTGTAGAATGGATACCATCAAGCTTTTATTCCGCTCAATAGTGTAGTTAATTGACGGTTCTGTTGTGAGGCATGTTGGTCTTCGACGAGTGTATGTTACTGAAGCTTGGACACTCCTCATATAAAGTTAAGCAAATGCCCGTGATGGTGACTTCGTCTTCTGTACTTCTTACCTTTGTGATGAATTAAAGGATGCACATTGCATCCGTCCATCGAACAGTTCCTCTCATCGGGATCACATGTGAAAGTCCGGATAGCCCCTTTATATTCCGCTAGGGTAAACTAATCTCTAACTTAAAATCATCTGCCACTCTGCTCCTTACGACGAATAACAAACGGCACCATATCTGCTGTGTTGCACCGAGCAAGGATTGTCATCGGTAGTGCTATTAAACTTTCTCCGTGCCATGCACATCTCAACAGCACCAGCGGAGGTATGGCGCCATGGATGTCCCGTACTAGACGTCGGTGTGACGGAGATTAGGTACAGATCAGCCACTCACACACAGAGGCCTGTACGACACCGCTCGCAGTTCTGTTCCCACACATCATGCCAATAGCCGGACCATAGGATTGAGATTTTGTGACCTGGTAGTGAGGGCCACGGTTCTCTCTGATTCGGCCCGGATGTCCTCAAAACCTGTGGCCCAAGTGTTTCGGTAGATCTTTGTGCAATGCAGGATAAAGCGAGAGGGTATGTGCGTGTCTTCTGAGCAGCTGGCCTATAGGATCTCGGTGCATGCTGCTAATTATTAGATAAACTTGGTAATTGCAATCGCACACAGGGCGGTAGCTGCACTGTAGTCTTTCCTATGCTGAGACGCCTGTCATGAGAACACCACGCTCCAACAACCACTAGTGGCCTTCTAGATTCGGAATCGGATAAACAGTCACCTTACAAATCTTACATATGGTCCAGAAAAAATGGTATTCAAATAGGAGAGAAACCTGGAGCATATGATGGCACTATTTAACTAATTTAATCTACTTGCGATGACGAGGTAGTATAAATGTCACGTCCGTCACCGCATTCATATATAGCTGGAAACGTTGTATGGTAACATTGCTGCTTACTTACGAAATATCTATCGCTGGCTTCGCATAAGCTCCTTGTGATCAAGTCAGTGATTCACCATGTCAGCAGATCTGCGACGCACATAACCGCAAGTATCGTCGCAGCGATGAGCTGGTCTCAAACAACCTCTACCATGTATACTATCAGCCATTTTTGTTCCAGTTACGTCTGCCATTTTTATGCTTCTGAGCGGCAGCAGTCCCTATTCACTTACACCATTGCTACAGATTAATTACCACTTTTTCCAACATCTGAAAACAGCATCAGTTCGTGGTGAACTCACCTTAATAAGGACCGATAGCAAAGCTTGTGTTAGTATACATTCCTTTCCTTTGCACTTTGTTGTGCATAGGGTATATGTTTTGATGGCTAAGTTGGTAGAGGTTTCGGCTAACACCCCAATGACTCCGTGGTCGATGTCTACTTTGTGAATCGCTTGCTTACATTGCAGTCGTACAGCTAGTGTGCTCTCCACAGGTATGGGTTTCCCCGCTCTATCTTCTCCTGGCGCAGTCATCATACTCTCATTCTAATCGGATTAACTTCTCGTATTCGGTGAGCACCATTTAACGGAATTGTTCCCGACGAATTATGATTCCTTCAATACGTTGTTTTAGCTCTTTTCGCTATCGATTTCGCGCGTGAAACCATTTCGCTTTTGTCAACACTTACTTCTGCAAAATTACATTCGATAAAGGATTCTCAGCGCTATGCGATGATCCGGAAGATACTTTTACAGGAACATTCCTAAAATAGGCACGGTTCAATTTGTGCTTATTGGCTACAATTGCCCGTCGGTGACAGCCGCTGGCATCCACCCACTACAAAAACGTTACAGAGCTTAATCTTAAACGGACAACCGCCAGTCGATAAAGGGACCAAACTGCTGCATGCATGTGCGTTATTCTCGTGACCAAGCCGCGTACGATCTTGAGGGTAGCTGCGCGACTGTGACAGCGAATTCGCAGATCACTCACCTTCTACCTCATTTGACCGGACAGGTGCAGTGTTTCGTTGAAGCAACAGCCGTTACTGAAGACGATTCCACTTAGCAATAAATGTAGAGAATCGAAATGCATGCGCATGATCAGTACTGGTCTGCCCTGATCAAAGCGTGCCATTGTATTTCACGCTAAATATGGTGGCATAAGTCAAGTAGGATTAAAGGCGCTTAACAATATGGTTGGTGCGCTCTGGTTTTGCTGGATATGCGGGGCTATTCCAGTTGTCAATTGTTTAGTTGTGCTCACTAAACAGCGTGTACACTTAACTGAATCATTTGAGCAGATATCGAGTCTCATTGCTTCCCCACTGGAATGGAAGAAAATCGATCATGTCCCCTAACAATCCCCTCTGAGCTACATCCCTAGGTCAAAGAGTAAAGTCAGGCATGCTAACCGCCCCACAGTATCTGTGCCTCTTATTCTGGTACATACCAACCCATTGGTCGGGCAGGTCACATTCTACTTGCTTGCTATTACCCCATTCCTGGAAAATACACCAAAGATTCAATCATGACACCATCAACTCAGAGACCGAAGCAATCCCGTGCGGAGGAAAAACAGTTAACATACGCATCGGTCGCCTCAATAAACACACGAGGAGCGAAACATGTTGGTCCATCTTCTTTGCCGAGCACACGCGGTGCGATGCAGCTTTCACCGTCAACTCCAGTGGCGCCTCTGAAACAGTGCAAGCCGTCAGCAGCAACTCAAACCGACATTTGCTGGACAGAACCAAGTGCATTAACTCGCGTGTGCAATAACCTTCCAGAGTCCAAATCGAGCACGATAATTGGCAAGTTGCTAGATGATCGAAACCAGTGGAATTCCATATGCGACGCGATTGGTATTCAGGTTGAGCGCATTACGCTGAGACGCGTAGCGTATCACCCGACCTATGCACTATAGTGAACCTTGCGTTCTACGGGTAATTGAACCCAAGTGATAAGACAGAGGCTGTCCTGCTCTCAACAATTCTCCATCGCAACTCGCCGAGCTGGGTGCGCCTATTATCCGACCTTCCTTGGAAAGGTCGCCCAAAGGAAGTGGATAACCAAGGCGGACGTCCTAAAAGTGCTAACAGGGAAACCATATTTGTTCACGGTGATCCCGAGCGTCCGGATTATCTTGATCACAGAGCGCAACTACATGACCGAGAGCAGTGGTGCCGCATTCACGAAGCACTTTTGCTAACAATGTTGCTGTTAAATCGTTGATAAAATTCCTTCACCCTCAAATTACAATGGCTGCGGTACAAGAATAATGAAAGTGGTGCTACACTCCAAAGCAATGACACAAGTTCCAGCATACCATTGGCACGCCGAACTGACGTAAAATCTGCGGCCTCTTACCCTAAACCAATTTACTGTCACATTTCTCAACACACACATATTCCTACACTCATTTGATCCAGCTTACTCAGCGCTATTTAGTGCATTTCATTCTTCGGATCGAGATTGTGTGCATCCTTTTTTATATCCATATCGCAATTTTCGCACCGTTGTGGCAGAAATGCAGTCGAAGAATTTTCGAATCCAGAGCCACACAGCATTTGTGGTCTCAAACGAATGCTAACTCCGAGGTCTATACGACGAGCCCTCAACCGCAGATGCCTACCACTTAGCGAAATGGCCATCCGACCTTGTGTGCCCTTATCAGTAACTCCCTTTATTTATATCTCAGAGAGAGTAACGAGCAAAAGAGCTAACCACTTAAACTTGACCTACCAGCCTCGTACGCACCAAACGTTTCAATCTTGAAAATATAGCTAATTAATCTCGCAGGTGGCAGACAGGCACTGCCATTGACCGGAAAGGCATTGATCGACGCGATGGTTTGTAAGGTCCAAACAAAGTTGCCCGTTTACCGCAACTAGCATGACAGTAGTATGTGGCTTTGCTTCATGCCAGGCAAATGTACGATCAGGATCTCAGTGTTCCAACTATCTCAGCAGCTTTCATTCTAAGGTTTCTAAGCTTACAGTAAACCAGTTGTGGCTACCCAATAATAAACCAGATTCTCTGTGGTGCTGTATATATGTATGGTCATCCCACTGGCAAATACCGTACATGAACTATCACAGAAGCACGAAAGTTTAGCGGCAATAATTGTGCAAATGAGGAACACTAAAATTTATTCATTTAACGAAATTGTGACAAAGAGCAACCCAATCCTTCCCATTACGCTCCACTTCGAAACGGAGGAAGGATGTGGGACAGTGCGTTAAAAATGCGTCACCTGTGGCTTTAGACCTTAATGTCACCAGTTGTCCAAATGCAGCTAATCAAGCCACCGCCATTTCGCTTGGAATAAATACGACCAGGGCCTCGTCCACCCTCCAAACCTTTCCGAATTTCCATAAGGACATCGGCACTGGTTGTGGTTGGAACATGGTTGCTTGCAAAGTCAACCGGAAACGTAAACCTTCCGTTACTCCCACTGGGTCTAAAGTAAATGAACAAGGTGAGGCTGCATTTCTATAGCCTCCACCGGTTGTATGCAGACCAGCAGGGCGGTTGACCTCAATCCCAGCTGCACATACTTTGCCATCGGTAATGTGCACTAGCTTTCTAGGCCTGACTTCAAATGCCTTGAAAGGAAAACAACTCGATGATGTGAACCAGCAGAATTCCATATGTAACATCCTAGGTGTTATACATAAGCCCACCAAATTTGGCACGGGTCACTCGTCATCCAAAATCAGAGCACTACGGTGAACCCAGACTTCTCGGAGTTTTATTGACTTCTGCCGATGATGTAGCAGTTGTCCTGTTATCGACAACTCGTCTCCGGCATTGGACATGTTCCATCCGCATCTTCCCGGACATTCCGTGCAGCAAGCGCAAACGGGCGACCCACGACTTGGAAGAATACCGGAAGGAGTCCGTAGCCAGAGTTCATAATGAACGCGAAGCGACAGCGCACGAGCAGGAACAGTGGCGTTACATCCGAGTGCTTCTATCCCTGGAAAACGTCATAGCGCACTCAATCTCGATGCTGCGCAGATTGCCAAATTTCAAAGGATGTTGCCCGAGCATTTTGAAAGTGGTGCTTCAGTCAAGCTACATGTCAACAATGTTTTTGGGGTTCTGCTATGCTCGTCGCAGCAGCCTTCCGAGTTCCGGATCAAAGCAGTGTCCCCTAAGCAAAAATATGATCGCAGCCGTTTACTCGGACCACTTCCCGACAATATTTCGGGTAATTTCACTCGGAAAGCCAACGAAACATACTACGAGAGGAGCACACAGGTAATAGCGGTATCCGTAGATCTGTTACAAATGAATGCGTCGTCGCCCCCCACCCAAAAAACCACTAGTGAGCGACGTTTCACCGGTCGGCGTAACATTACACCCAAAACGTACACCCCCGACTCACTGATACGAACAGAAAAACTTTCCTGCATGTACACCAACGCAAAGGTCTGCTGAACAAGCTTGCCGAACCGCGGTTACCTTAAGCTTCATATGCCTGGGATCTTATATTTGTACCTGAAACTTGGTTGCATTTATAAACTACCGACGCCGAAATTGAAATGATCGCTCCAGTAAGGGCGGTGGGATAATTTTACAGTACCGTAGTGACCTGAAGTGCGAACCGGTGGACGATCCGGAAACGCTGACCATAGACTCGCTCTTGTGCAGTCTGCGGCTGCGATACAACGACGCTTGCCTTGTGGCAATTGTTTATCATCGCTTATTATCCGCCCCAGAGATAAAGCCCTGTTTGACGTTAGCTTTGGGGAGTTTACTTTGTTGACGATATAGCCATGTGTTCATCTCAGGCGATTTTAATATTCCCAATTTGGAAGTTCCTGCATTCTCCAACGAACAATTCAAAGCCAGTCTGCAAGAACTACTTGCAAGCATTCCGCTCTTCAGTCATGTCGGTTTGCCTACCAAATTTAGAACGGGTAACAAATTATCTGTGGTTGATTTATTGATCACGAAATAGGAGCTCATCATCCTCATCATCAGTACATGTTAGCTGAGGGTAAGAAACACCTCAGCTAATGTATCGCAATACACAAAGCTACTAGACGAAGTACATTACAAAGAAATTGTCGATAGTGTGACCGGCACTGATGTCATCTACCTCGACTTCTATAACGCTTTCGACCGATTAGGTCATCGCATCTTTCTCCAAAAGCTACAGACGTACGGAATTGGAAACCCTGCACTTGGATAGATCGGAAATTACCTCCTTCAGCGGTGGCTTCAGATTCAGGTTAGGAGATAATTTGCTATCCAATTGACCTCGGTTGTGGTGCTTCTCAGGTATCAATGGTTCTGTGAACGTTGACCCTGAGTTCGATGCTCAGCTTATCACTTCCGTATAGTAAAGATCCAAGACTACGTGGCCATGTGATCTACAATGCAGTGGAGCCATTCGCTAATTTTGCGTGTTGTTGTAGCAAGAACGAAGCGACAGGGGCGCACAGTTTCTATAGCCAACGAACAAAAGCTTATCTGGCTAGTACATGCGCACGCACGTATAGAAGCTATTTCCACCCCACAACGCACCACACCTCGTTTTCTCGCTCGGCGTCACATTCACGCCATTGTGTCCAGTTTGCGAGGTCTTTTCCACCGATTGGCCTCGTATCTGCACTACCGCCCGTCGTATTCGGACCGGACCGGCTTCGTTCTAAGGCTCTTGATTTGCTCAATCGGGGTTGCATTGTTCTTCTTGGGGTTCTTCCTGGAAACTTGACCGAAGACGTATCTTTCCAGAAAATGGCGCTCATCACTAACACGTTTCCCGCTCTTCTTGGCGTGGGCCCGATACCACTCGTCACTCGTGAACCATTCCTGGCTTGTTCCGTAGGCCTCGTACTGCTTCGCTGACTTTTTTCCCCGGTGTCCGCTCTGTTTTTTCTCTTCCTTATTGTCTGTGTCTTTTCTGTCACGCCCATGATTCTTGCCTTCAGCGTCAGTACACTATGTGAAATGTACTTCTGGTACCATGCGATATCACTGCACCGGCAGGCGGTGTCTAAAATGAAACTGGTCTTTACCATGAGGCTATGTCAAATGACTGATGGACTTGAGCTACTTGCTGTACACAATAGAGCGTCGCACACAAGCACCGTGTTTTTGCTTACTTGAATACGCATTCAGTGGATAGACGCTGTGGAGATCATTATACAACACATGACAAATGGAGACTTGCATTTGTTGACCTGTCTCAATTCTGATCCTGAGCCCCGGAAACATATGTGAGCAAGTTTATATTTTGAGTCTATCCCAGCTGATCGTGTTGCTACCGTCATAACTACATTGCTTCCTGTTATTACTCCCATTCGACCATTAACTCAACCGGATGAGAACGATTATTTTATGTTAACTACCTTGTTTTTTTAACTGAATTTAGCTCAGTGGATTGACTAATTGCTCCTACGTTAGGCTTGCGTCCGTACTAAGTAACATATAAATGTCTGAAACGTTTACTTCGATATAATACTCTTCTTACATCTACTCCTATCAATTTGGATACCATTTTCAACTAGTGATTTGTGTGCCACAGTCATTGTTACGTGGACGACCGCAGTGGGAGGTAGCTGTGTAGCCTCCCCAGAAACGGGGATATTACTAAAGCGAAAAGGTTTCTTCTAACATTCCTCTTGAGTTTGGGTTTAACTGGATTTCAGTGGGATTTTCGGATGCATTTCGAGCAACTGTTTCACAAACCATGTCATAGTGTGTCGATTTTTCTTTCTTTTATAGGAACGATTGCCTTGGTCTTCTTTCTTTTAACGAACATCTTGCATTCAGTATATACCTATTCATGGGACATTCGGATGGATTGGGGTTTGCTGGAATGTGAATCTCCGAATCGACTGTTGCGCGAAGAGATGGTGTATCACCGGCACACCTACTATTACGCGGCAATAGTTGAGAACTTCATCCTGCGATTCGCATGGGTTATCCGCATCAGTTTACAAGAAACCATTGTACCTCCAACCGAGTTTATCATCACCATTTCACGTTGTGCCGAAGTTATCAGGCAAGTTATTTCTGGTCTCAGGATTCCTCGAACCAATTGTAGTAAACGAATCTATGGTTCCGAACCAGCAATAGATTTACTGTGCATGAACACTTCTCGCATACCTCATGAACCGTAAGCTTGCGAAACGCAACTCGGTTGCCGAGCAACGGTACCTCTTTGTTCTCTCCGTGATAAAAAAACCAATTTTGTTGGCTACTAGTCGTAGTTATTACTTCCTCCCAGGAGCCAACATTGCATTATTGGGTCTGAGTTCAGGGATCTATAACAGCGGTTAGAGTTGAACACACCGGATAATGGAAATCCATGGTTAGATTTCGGGAGTAAGTCGTAGCCGGAGGCAGACTATTTCCCTTGGTGATCCCATATATCTTCGATGGTGAAACCGAAACTTTTCAGTACTACATATAAAGCAGTAAGCATGTAACAAAGTCCTCGGGCAAAGTTGTGGTAGTTTGAGATCTTCCATTTAATCGCTTACTACTAGAACGGTGCAGAGTCACTTGTGCTTGATATAACACTGTTTCTGGTGGCGTAATGGTCACTTAACTTGACGAGTGTTTGACTGACCAAGCAGTTAGAAAAAGGGGACTAGTCTATACCGTTTCTCAGTCAGGTGCATTCATATCGGAGTCATTCTTCCGCAAGGAAATTATTTTCCGTCATAACTCACACCCTAATCACTGCATCATTTGCACATGCACACCCCTAAGTGCGTACTGTCCGTAGAGTGGCCAATTCCAAAGCAGTCAATACCGTATCAGACGAGCATATGTCATGTGGTGCAGGTGGTTCTTGAACTTAGACCTACCTGCGGCCTCGGGGGTGCGGCGCAGATCGATCGCGCGTTTAGATGTGTCTAGCCCCGTTCGACATTCCAAGTCAGCAACGACCTGCTACGCTGAAGCCAGGTCTATACAAGCTAGGGGACATGCTCGTCAAACTCATGTGGTACGACTCGTGCTTAGCGGTGGCTCCGTGTAATGGTGGGTGGTAGTTGGGGTTGCTATACGTAGCCTTCCAAGCAATTGCCCGTCTATGTGAGATTTATTGTGTGCTCAGTGTTCCCGCACGCGCTATAACTGAGGCAGTTGTAGAGTAGCTGTTCAGCTACCATGTGCCTGATGTCGAGCGACCTACCCTGCTGGGAGAACGGAATGTCTGTAGATCTCGCACTTTTATGGAGGATCGACTGGCATGGAATTTGAGCTAGCGTTGCCGGGGACGTTGATAGAGTGTGGACTGCAGCACGTTTTGGGGTGTTTCATACTCACAGAGCTCAATGCTGTGAGGTCTGAGCTTGAAGTGTGCGATGAGCACACAGAGACAGGCAATTGCCTGGAAGGCTACGTACAGCAACCCCAACTACCACTCACCATTACACGGAGCCACCGCTAAGCACGAGTTGTACCACGTGAGTTTGACGAGCATGTCCCCTAGCTTGTATAGACCTGGCTTCAGCGTAGCCGGTCGTTGCTGACTTGGAATGTCGAACGGGGCTAGACACATCCAAACGCGCGGTCGATCTGCGCCGCACCCCCGAGGCCGCAAGTAGGTCTAAGTTCAAGAACCACCTGCACCACATGACATATGCTCGTCTGATACGGTATTGACTGCTTTGGAATTGACCACTCTACGGACAGTACGCACTTAGGGGCGTGCGTGCCCAAATGAGGCAAACTGATTGGGGTGTGATTTATGACGGAAGTTAACTTCCTTGGGGAGGAATTTGCCTCCTATATGAATGCATCTGACAGAAACGGTCTAATGACGGGAACCCTTTTAATCGCATTGGTATTTGCGACCAAAATTCCCACATTTTTCTTGTCGTAGTTTTCTCCACGTGCATTATTGACATACCCAAGGTTTTCTTTCCCGTGCTATCTTGTAAAACTCAAAAGGCGATTCATCTGGAATTTCTTTCGATTGGAAAACGAGCACTTAAACAACTGCGGCGAGTTCCGGGCGGTCCGTGATATACTTATTCGACCCGAGCGTCGAGATTACAATACGAACACATTTAATTCTCTCGCGCATATCAATGGACCGAGGAGGGAGATTCAAAAGGATGTCGATCGGCTACGGATGGCAGCCTATGCGAATTCGGAGCGTTTTGATACTGAATTTCGGAACACCCCGGCACAGCGTATTTGGAATTGGCTCAGCAAGAAGGCATTGGGACACATTCGGCGTCGTCATGTGGACCATACTGCAATCACAGGTGTTGAGTTGATCCAGAATGCACCAGCATCAGAGTTTTGTACGTGGTCACAAACCTCGTGCGGAAAAATCACAGCGGAACATGTCCGAGAAAACTCATTCAGGCGTTCGACTGACGATGCTCTAGATGACATGTACGACAAGAGCTTGAAGTCAGAACCGAATACACAAGGCGATTCTACCAGAAAAGTAAGCTCTTATATTGTTTTATGCATCTTGTTGCCATTGGCCAGCCAACTGAGTAGAATTTATTTTAATTAACTTTACTACCAAGGTAAAACAAAGGAAATCTTTTTAAGGGTTGCTTCTAGGTGTAGGATCCAACTCACGTTATTAACTAAGTAAATGGATCCCGTGCAGCCCCGACCAGTATACGTAAGTATTAGGCATCTTGCTTCTTGACCGGATGTCACCAATTTGAATCCGTGTAGCTGCGGGTGACCTCCTGGTGTACATACCGCGACTGGAAGTAGTCGCCTGGCACCGAAGCCTAGGTCCGGTGAGTTGGTGTACTGCTGCTACCTTTCTTCTTTCGACAAACGGTAGAATGATAACAGCAAGTGTCATTTCGGATAGTTAGGATGAACAACCTCTGTTTCGTGTCTTCTCAGCATTCTTCATTAATAATGTGGTGTGTCTTTTTAGGACACGTTGTTCCCATAATTTCTGTTCTGATCATCAGATGTTAGATTTCACAAAATCCTGGAATGGATGAGGGTTTTGTCCGGTAATGTTCGTAGTTGCTGTGAATACTCTGGATTTGGATGAGGAGGTCCGGTTGATGTTCGAGCTGGATTCAAAATGTAATCCAAAATTCGCAGCCATAAATGATTTAGACGTTTTGGTAACTGATGCACTGAGGAAGATGCCAAATGATTAAACTAGTGGGCGACTTAAGCTCACACAATGCCAAGCTCCATGGATTGTACTTCGTGAGACATTGCATTGAGGGTTAGGTTATGTCAGTCCGAAGATTCCCCGGTTTACCTGTGTAAAATTCTAACTGAAATTACTCTTTCGTTGTACACTTAAGTGATCGGTGCGCATTATTGAACTGGATGTTGAGATCAATCGCTCGAGTCGAGCACCACTTTTGCTTGGCACTCGCTTTGATTGAGACGCGCAATCACCCTGTGTGTTGTGCATTTTGCATTCTCCTAGCTAGCAGCGTCAACGGTGTTGTTTTTATAGCTAGGTCAACGGGGTGTCTTCTGCTGTACAAAACGAAAGTTTCCCCACAACTCGATCTGTCTTTTGGAACACTTATCTAGGCTCCCGCTAAAGATATGAGACAGAGAATACAACACTAACGGAAGACACTACCTTATGGTCCACAGAATCCACGAATTAAAACAGATACAAAAATGTTACCGCAGACGTAAACAAACCGAAAAATATGGAATCAAATAAGCGGGACGAGCTCAACGGAGGAACAGTCGAAATAGCCGGCATTGAGGTTCTTCTGAAACCAGGGTCACTAATTTAGCTGGAGTCCTGATAACGGTTACAAAAGGTCGACTAAATTCCTCCCTAGTGTGCCGAGTAAATTCCTTGCAATCATGCAGTCTCTTTACCGTGACTCCAGAGGCCGCGTTAGGGTCTAAGGGAAATTGTTTTCTGGATTCCCCACTATAAGCCGGTTCGCCAAAGCTGTCCTGTATCTCTTTTCCTCTTTAACTTTGTGATCGAAATGTTCATGGAGGGTCCCATCCTTTCAGACTCTACCGGAATGAACGTTCTGCCAGGTGACAGACTGAAAAACCTGGAGTATGCGGACGACAAAGCTCTTTTTGGCGCCGACGCAGTGGCTGTACAAACATTGCTGGCTAGACTGACGCGTTGCGCCGCACGCTTTGGCATGTGCTTTGTAATGTCAAAGTACAAATTGCTGTTGCAAAACTGGACCGACATACCGAACAACCACTAGAAGTGGTAGATCGATTCACTTAGCTTGCGAGCTGTCACCTCAGGTGGTCACATCACTGAGGAGGTTACTTCGCGTATCAGCAAGGCCCGTGTAGCTTTCCAGAGACTCGACCATCCTTGGAGACGCGGGATATCAGCCTGTCAGTGAAAGGCAGGGTATGTAAAGTTGTGGTGAGACCGGTCTTACAATATGGATCAGAAACCTGGCCAGTTCGCGCCTGAGACATTAAGCGCTTGGCCGCGTTTGACCAACGGTGCTTGCGGAGTATTGCTCACACCTGGTGGGAACACCGCATTAACAATACTGAGATCTGCCAGTTGGTTTTTGACAGGAAGCCTTCTGGTGCGTCACTTGAGTATTTGCTCAATTTGAATAGCTTACGTTGATTAGACCATTTCCTCCGTATGCTCGTTGACCGGCTTCCTCAGCGTACATTATACGCCGAGACTACACCAAGTTAAGCGAAACCACGAGGTGGACATTCCATGACGTGGCATAGAGGTTTGAAGAAATTGACCGAGAGACTTGGTCAGGCTGGTGCTTGCCGTCTTCCTGGATGGGAGCCTCGAGATGGTCCACATCAATGATTGGAGACCGTATCAGACAGCGCGCAGTCACGCAGTCAGTGGCGTTCCTGCATTCGGTTTGTTGCATCTGCTGCTTAAATTTCGTTTCATTCTGATTAATTTGATGCACATCCTTCTTGTTTCCATGTGCTTTTCATTCTATTTGAATTCAACCCATGTTGTCGTTGTTATTTATTGTTATTCTCACGATATGTAGTAGCAACTGGATCCACCGCACCGCGGTGCTCGGACCATAGTTACTCAACTGAAATGATCTGAACTAGCTATAAAAAGCGACACCGTTGCCGCAGCACATTAGAGCGGCCACGCGTTGCAGCCAAAACGAATTCCAAGCAAAAGTGGTGGTCGACTCAAGCGATCGGACTTAACATGCAGTTCAACAACCCGCACCGATCGCTTAAGTGTACAACAAAATGAAAATTTTAGTTAAACTTTATACATCCAAGCCGAAGAATCTCCAGACTACTACTAGGTCTGTTTATATCGCATTCATGTAACAGCCGCCTAGTTTGGTTCGCTAGCACGACTTCGGCCGCGACATAGCACCATGGTAGTTGCGAAACATTGGCAACGCAAACAATCTTTCAAATGGCATAGTATTAACTGACTCTTGTTTGAGGACGTCTGCTTGAACGACTACCGCCTTTTGAGAGCTTCGGTTTCTGTCTTTCAATCGGAAGTGTACTTGTTGCCAATGTTGTATTAGTGGATAACTTGGACAAGAGGATAAGAGCGGTGGAGCCGGACATGCTTCGATCGTTCGCAATGACTGGTCGTTTCTGGTTTTCCAAGATCTCCGGTGCTGTGATATCGCAGGAACGCCTGACCCTTTTTCTTATATTCGACGTAGTGACTGCTAACGATAGATGAGGTGCAATCCCCGACTTTATTATCCCTTTCAAATCAATTTTCCCATTTAAACGAAGCTCCACTTCGGCGGTTCGACTGTCGTACCTTTGTGATAATCCCTAGTAGATCATTTAAAAAGAAAGCCGTTGTACATTCAGGACGGAACCAAAGTGGGCCCGGTTAACTCTTTTACCGCTTTACTTCCATTAGAGACACTATGGCACATTTTAGATGGTAATGGCTAGTCTAACGAGTCCCACGGTTACTATCACGGCACCTATCTCAGCGCCACAGACCTTTCGTGTCACAGTTTTGTGGCCATTGTGGTCGAATGACCGCTGCCTGCCTTGCGGGTTGATGATGTCTCGCATTTGTGTAACGTTCACACGCCGCTTTCCAGGTCGAGGTCAGAGGACTGACGTGTTCCGACTTGCGCATCTCCTGTCCTTCTTACAATAGCGGTTATAGCAGCCAGCCTAGACCAGTCGCGCAAGCCGTCGTCATGCCCGGCAGGTTGATTAATCGCACCGACTGAAATGAAGAACAGCGAAGGTTTGTGACCACCTGACCGGGAATGCTTTGCATGGGAAATGTAGTTTCGTCTTTAATCGCAACAGACAGGAATGAAATGAGACGGGTGAGAGCATGTTGTCAAGATGAAAGCTTCCTCTATAGAATGTGGTCAAAACCGGGGGTGGTCGCTTGTAACAAGGTGAAATCGTGCGCATGGCTGGCGAGGAAGAACAGCCCAAATTAGTAAATCCCGCTGCAGCGAGTGCTTTCAGCTGAGTAAACTGAGAAGAAAACGTGCAAATTCAGCGATTTGCGGCGAAATGTTACGCAGTAAATGCAAAAGCTCTGGGAGTAGGAAACAATAATACTGTTTAGTGAAAGGAAACAACAGCAGAACGATGCTGATTACTTTATGTTACCTCATTTGAAATCGCGTCCGTGTTTATTTCTGAAAAAAGTATTAATGCAATGTCGTGGATAGGTTGTACCATTATTTGATCTGTTTCTTCTAGGGAACAGCTTCTCGCATCGTCGCGAAATATACAATGTGTTTATTATATTCTTGGCATGATCCAATTTTTACAACTGTTTCATATACTCATTACCGCATATCCCAAATGTCAGGCAGAAATAACAATCGTGTTTTTAACCTCCATCGTTATCCAGTTCAAAGCCTTGATTGGGCACAAAATAATTCTTGACATAGTGACGGAGAGCTCCACGTACGGACTGAATCAAGTTTTCTTTTCCTTAGGTAAAGGATGAGGAGCAGTTATGTGGTGATAAGAGAAATATTAAAGCTGAAATCATACTTATTGTACATACCATCTAATTTACGCTAAACTTTATCTATACATTGTGGCGTTCTAAAAAGAAGTAGTGTAAGACGGAGGTATTTACTCATTTTCATTTCAGCGACTGTACATATTAGACCGAACCAGATAGAATGGGAGATATTTACGTTGTGTGAGGCAAAGGTGGTTGGCACTTGCCAACTGGCTCAGGCGTTTTCGTCTGATTATGCGCTAGGCGTATGCCAATGAGTAAAAATGAAGAGAAATATTGGAAATGGGGGTGAAGATGTTGGGCGCAAAATCAGTTAGCTTCAATGACTGTTAGGTGTGTGTCACAGGGAGTCGGGAGCGCCCCGCTGAAGCTAATTACAATGACAATACCTCGACGCCCCGAGTTCAAATTTTTAGCTGGACACCTCTCAGTCACTTTTAATCAAAACCGAAGGGAGCGCGACGGGGCAGCCGTTGAGCAAACTTACGAAACACGTATTTGAGGGATCGAGGTATGTGCGAGAAAAT